CCAAGATATAGAATAATTACCATTTTAAACAAAGAATTTGAATAATTATCATTTTGATCCGTACATTGGTAATGTGTGACTGGGCCTCGTGCCACTTTATGTTCAATAAATTGGGCCCCAAGGTCAGTTAAGAACCCCTGGCATAAACTACAATAAATAATCCATAACACTTAATTTAGTTTTAATCTGGGAGTTTTTTTTTTTTTATCAAAAATGGTCAAAAAAATTAAATGCCAGATTTTTTTGTGCCAGGTTTATACATTCTGATTCAAAATTAAACAATTTGTTATTTATTAAAACTAAAGAGATACAGCTATGTATAAACTTGACAATATTATAATCCACATCAAATAGTTCTTACTAACACTAAATTTGACAAAATCAATAAATAGCCAGAAGGTGACAAAAATAAGTAATCTGTCAACTGATGTCAACAACTAATATTTAAATTATCTGCTTCATAATTAGGCTGACAACATCTGTTCACAGTTAAATAAGCACCGGCTGAAGTCCTCCAAACCTTTGTGGGAGTTCAGCTCCAGCAAGAATACTGATGACTCAAAGAGTCAGAAAAGTTCAATCATTACCAGCTTTTAAAGGACAACTGGGAAAGAAAATAACTGGTCAGTCCACAAAAAACTGCTGATTTTGCCACAAACATGTTTGAATCCTTTAAGATGTCTTGACCAATGTTGACCTGGAGGCCCTCGTTTTAGGAAATCAGTTTTAATCTGTAAATTTGTGGGAAAAAAAAGAAAGTCACTAAATTAAAATATGAATTTCCTGATGGCACAAAAAGCAAACGATCAACTAATGAACAGGGAGTATGTTAGAAATAATGACTAGGTATGAATAATAGAGACCTCCCAGGCAGGTGAATAAGAGAAGCTGAACAACTAAACTATGTCGTCACTCTTATGAGCTTTTTTTTTTTTTTTTGGTTTTACGGGAAAATTAAAAGCCTCTCAGCTGGAAAACTCCCAAACGTCCACATGGTGCTGATTCAAGAGCTTTAAAAAAAATCAATCATCTATTCACACTGAGTGGAGCTCCATTAGTCTTCAAAAAGACAAAACAGCAAAACCATTAAGCTATGAAATCATTATAAATTCAAACACTCATTTTGTTCATTATTGGAACAAAGTGGGGTAAAAAGGAGAACTTGTCTCTTTGGATTTATCAAAATAATGCATACTATGAAATATTATTTAAATATTTTGAAACTTTATGGATGTAATCACCTCAAAATGGGAAGTACATCATTTTGTACAAAGCATAAGTAAATAATAGGTATTTATGCAAAACAGATGTTTGTCAGTTTTCCTGTAGTTTGAGGCAAGTGACATTTAAGACTTTAATACACTTTATTCCTATTTGAAATTAAATTTAAAACCAACTTCACAATAAACAAATGAAAAATTAAAATCAGTGACAATTTTACCCAAATGTTTATTTTAACATTAAAACAACTAGCTGTGAGAGACAGTGTTGTATAAAGTACCACAAAGTGATACTTGAGTAAAAGGACAAGTATCTTACCAAAAAAATTACTTTGTTTAAAGTTAAAGTCTCCTTTAGGAATATTACTTGAGTAAAAGTCTTAAAAGTATTTGATATTTTTTGTTCGTAAGTATTAAAAGTATAGATTTAAAATGAGCAGTTAGATTTTCTGTAAGGACATTTATTAGGAGGTGACCTCCCCAAAAACTGCAGAAATTACTATATTGTTTTAAAATAGTTAATTTGTTAAATTTAGGTTGCACTAGTACAAACTAATACACTATCAGAGTTTTATATATTTATACTTCTCATTCAACCAGTTAAATTCACTCTATAGGAGGCTCAGTTTATATGGATAGTTTTTATTTTTTATAAGAACAAGCTGCAATGAAAACAATAAGAAATGAAATACAAGTAACAAATTTCTACTTTTTGTCTTTTTTAAAAAATGTAAGGAGTAGGAAATACAGATAACTGTGTGAAAATGTAAGAAGTAGAAGTAAAAAGTAGGCTGAAAAATAATTACTTAAGTACAGATACCCAAAAATTCTACTTAAGTATGGTAACAAAGTATTTGTACTTAGTTACTTTACAACTCTGGTGAGAGACATTCAGTAAATTATTTTAATATTTGACACAAAAATCACCCTACTTACAATGTGTTAATATTTTTAAGACCTCTGAAAGATTGATTTAAGACATTTAATGTTAATTAAGGCCTTATTTTTTAGATTAATGGATTTAATGCCTTTTAATGATCTGCAGGAAGCCTGGTGTGTACAAAGGAAAACAGAATAAATCTTATATTGACAACTTAACAGTGCAGAAGGGTTAGGATATTAAAATATATATATTACTACACAAACGTTTGAAGAAATCCAACAGATTTCCTCATTATTCAAATACTCCACATTAAAAATCCCACGTAACACTAGGGTTGGGCATAATCGTATCGTGTGCAAAATTAATCAATTACTTTTTGGCACTTGACCAATGGGGATTATTCCTGTCAGTCCGCTTTAATTATGATGAACGTTAAAAATAAAGTTCTGCAATTTATTTATCTCTCAACACAATTTAAAATATGATGTGTAGCCTGTATCTGTAATTTTCACACAATTTGGAACAATTTTTTACAAAGATCAAATCTTTCCCACTAAATTAGTAATTTGTCTACGAAATAAGGGACTCCAGGGGATTATTTGTCAAAATTATCGGCTAAATACCACAATTAATCGTGATTAATTTTTGCCAATATTGCCCAACCCTAATTAACACCGTTTCATTTTAGATGCATGGCTCAGCCGAAAGGCAGAAATCGATTAAAATCGATCGAACTCGGCATCACCGACCAGCTCCGATCATATGTGGGACGCCTCTACCTCACTGTACACGTGCGGGCCTGCCTCCTAGCTAACTATTCACACCGAAATAACGAGATAAAAAACGGGGGCGCCACCTTAAACAGCGGGCGGACCACCGTTCAACAGCATCAAACGTTACGGTTCAAACCCCCGGAACACTCCGGGTGTGTGGCTGTGGCACGGAGCTAACAGCGCGCTGTCCGTCGCGTTCCCCTGCGGGATTTTAAGATGGAGACACAGATTAGCGCCGAGCTCTGTCGGTTAGCTTAGCCGCTAGCAGCAGCTCTGACCCAGTTCAGTCTACGCCGCGATGCGCCAACACCCAACCGAGGCACAGCGTTCCCCCCACGTTATTTTCCGCCCAATCCACCGGATTACCGCAGCAGGAGAAAAAAAAAACACGTCCAAACAGAGGTCACGTTTGACGGGAAGCTCGAGGGAAATGTGGAGGGTGTGTTAGCTCCCGACACTGCGCCATGACGAAGCTCGGATATTCGCTCTGCGTCTCGCTGGATGTCGAGCACAGCGGTCACGGACCGTGGCTGAGCTGGTTCCCGGTGCCGCAATCAGCAAGTCGGGCACGAATTTTCACGCCAAAGCGCGGCGCCGTGTTAGCACTGGATGCTAAAAAAAAAAAAAAAAGATGTCCGGGCTGCGCTCGCGGCTCGGCCGCTGCTAAGCTGTCAAAATGGCCAAAGCGGAGCAGAAAGCTGCATCCGCGCTCGCATCGACCCGCTTCCTCCGGGCTTAATGAAAACACACCGCGGAACATTTACTGGGGTTATCAGCACGCGCAAAGCCCCCCTCGCAGGTGTTCAGTGGGGTATTTGTCGTTATGTGGCCACATTCTCCGGCCTAAATCCTCGCACCCAGCCCCAAACCACAATAGGCACCTTCCGCAGCGGACCCAGCCAGCGGCGCCGCCGCTCCCACCGGGCCTCCCTCCGCACCGCCGCCTCCGTTAACCGTTACATAAAACAACAATCGACCGATTTCAGAGCGAACTCACGTTTAGAGCGTGATTAGGATCCCGAGTTTATTCGCTCAACGATGGGAGTTTCTCCAGCCGTCCTCCGCTCGCTGCTCAGGGTATTCAGGGCAGTACCACTTCCGCCTGCGCTGACACTTCCGCTTCCTCCAGACCCCACCCCTCCCCCCCCGCCAGTATCCGCGGCAACGGAGCCAGGGGGTTTCCTAAGCATCTTGCGAGGGGCTTTGACGTCAGGCAGGACCATGGCAACCGCTGCGGGATGACGTCAGCCCCAGTCTCCGTGGCAACTGTCTCCACGAGGCCGCTGCTGTCGTATGTCAGGCTCAGCGTCGTGCCAGCTGACACGCTGCTGTGTGGGTTATAGACCCAGTACTGCGGTTTACAAGGGTTTTTATCTCTTAACAGGCAGATATGGTTCTGACACTTTAATAAAAACAGGTTCTGGACCCCTCTGGGCCTGTTAAACTAAAACTTGATCCTAAAACAAGTAAAACTGCAACAATGGCTGTTGGGCTTTTTACTGTCATCAATCCCCCGATCAATGTTTGTATTTTAACCGAAGGGGCAGAAGTTTGATTCAACATGTTGGAATGCAAACCTGCAGAACCAGCGCGTTATTTCTTTGTTTTTGTGTTTTTTTTACAGGAATTTGTGCCAGAAAACTTGCATTGCCTAAAATAAATTACCGTAAGTGCTGGAAAAGCTGCTCCCACTAAAATGAATTACAAATCTTAGAAAAGCTGCACCACATGAAAATAATATATAGAATAGAATAGAATAGAAACAGCCTTTACTGTCCCACACAGGTGTGGTGGGCACAGTTCCTCTAAAGCAGGGGTTCTCGAGCCGTTTGGGACTGGGGACCCCTTACAAGGATGAAAAAAATTTCAGGGAGCTCCTCATGCTGTTTAAAATGCTAATTTACTGTCATTTTAACCCAAAAAAATGCCATGGGAATATATATTTTTATTATGTTTATTATGTTTGTTTTATTAGTTCGTTGTTCTTCGTGCATTTTTAAAAATAAAAACCAAATTAACAAGTTAGTGAAATTAGTGAGATACTGCTATATTTAAATTTGCACTTTATCAAATTATTTTTTGTAGTTTATTTTTTAATATTTTAAATGTATTTTAAAGAAACTTTAAACCGGTAAAAAGCTTTTGTTTCTGTTGTTTGTCACTAATATGAAGAGCAGCTTCTGGTTCTACCATGCAAAAGTTTAAAAAGGCTTTATTTTGGGGCGCTGCGGAGCGGTCTATGGAGTAGGACGTGGTTTATGGTAGCTCCTGCCAATTTCGTTTATAATACTTATTCAAC